CATGACATAGGTCATTTTTTTGTCCACCAACACTTGCTCTTCATAAACTCCTTCCTTCACATAAATCACAAAGGTTGTATTGCTCTTCAATGGTACCTCTTTAAGGGCTTCAGTTATTGTCTTGTACTTTCCACTTCCGTCTTTAGCCACCACCACATTCGCCTTGATGTTAGCTCCAGTGGCCTCGAGTAGCCCTCGCCTGTCGCTCACCCAAGATGGCTCTCCCTCTTGGTATTCATTGGATTCCTCCGTTCGAAGTTGTCGCCCCGATTGTGGCAGCAGTCCCAACTTCTCCCACAAAGTGCTCACAAGGGATGTAACCTCACCCACCATCACAAGTCCATTGGCGGTCATTTCTCTTGACGTCTTCAACAAATTCTTCATCTTTTCACCAGTATCGCCAGGAACATTCTCGAAACCATCCAAACAAGTTTCTTGATATGTCAATGCAGCGCTCAACCAAATCCTAAGGTTCTCAAGATAAGCATTCACTCTGTGTACATCAAAACTATCGGTGATTTTATCAAAGGAAGTTAAAAGATCATCAATTGCATAATCCATGAGCTCGTCGCAAGCATCAACTGCTTTTTGCGCCATGGGGTCAGTGGCGGCTTGTTTCAAAGTGGGGGAATTTGCAATGGCCGCTTTGAGCTGCTCAATAGCAAAATGGAACCCTGCCTTGACCAACTCACGTGGGTCTTTTGAGTCAACATTGGACTTCACCAGGACTTCTTCGCAAGTTTCACGATAAGTAGTGGGCTCACATAGAGTCTTAATGGCAGCATTAGAGGAGCCAGGTTCCTCTCCTGCGCCACTTACACCGTTAACCAAGGCAACAAAAAACAGAGACAACAACCCAACCAGGGCAGCCTTATTGTTCTTGCATCCACCGCCGTCATACGCCATGTTTCTTCTCTCAAGCTGTTTTCTTTTTTCTTTTTTTTCTTTTTTTTTTTTGTTTTGTTTTCTTGGGTAATAGAAGATAGGAAGTTGCTGTCTTGATTTCTTTCTGTTCAACAAATGACCTGTTTTTATATGAGAAAATTTTAACAGAATTTCTAAATTGAAGTAAATATCGTTAGAGTTAGGAGCACTCTAGACCAATCATTTTTACTTTTTTTTTTTTCTTAAATTAAATTTTCGTATCTAAATTTAGCTAATTTTTACTATAAATTTAGGTTAATTTAGTTAATTTTTGGTAATCTTGTATTCAAAATCTTAGTTGATTATGCTACATATTTTAATTAAGTTTTTTTTTCTTATTATAAGTAATTCTTTGTTATTGAGGGGAAGTTCATTAGCTCATATTAGATTAATATAAAAATTTGTGATCAGTAAAAAATACAACTCATAAATCTGAAGGTTTTGGAGTGATAAATAAATTTTAATAAAGATGCAACAAAAATGATTGCGCCATTTGGGAGCTATTCTTTTTGTTTAAAAAGTTAATATTGTTGAGTTTAACCAATTTAGATATATATAATTTGGATCATGTGGTCAAGAGATTCAAAACCCCATATGATCAAACTAAAAAAATTGATGTTTTTTCTTCTTCAAAATAAAAATTAATTTGAACATGCCGTGGTAACTAAGATGTTTGTAAGTCCGAAAGAATGACAATTAGATAGGTTGACTTTTTGTTCAATATTCTAGTGATTCTTCTACTCCAAAGATAGGTTTAAAGCATTTATGAAAGGTCATGAACTTAAATAACTTCGATTAGATGTAAGAAAATTTACCTTGCCATTGCAATTGTCCCACGTGCTTTCTTGTTTCCTAGTCGATCTAGCTGATCAGCTGCTTCCAAGACTAGCAATCTCGTTCCCTCAAGTTTCACGCGACACTGACACAAACATAGTCATTCTCTAAAAAATTGTTATAGATTTTGGGGGGCAATCATGTGGCTACTATATCCAAATACTGGCATTGTTTGAAAGGAAGGAACTCTGCTCAGTGTCACGGTCCTACATTTTTTACCGTGTGGCATCGTGATTTTGACACGCTCACGACTAGCCCTAAGGGGAATCAAGCCCCATATATATTTTTCACTCCAGCTTTGTGGCTTCGTCGGACCTTAGGCGAAGTTTGTCTTCGCCAATCGAATATCGCTTATGTGGAATCCAAACTTGTAGTGTATAACAATTTAATCTGTATAATGATTTAGTCTTGAGAGTAGAATCATCACTCTATAGCATCCAACTTTGAGGATGGATCGAGTCTTTGGCATTACTAAGACTTACTGCTGTAGACAAAAGCATTGCCAAAGATGAAATCAGGTACCGGAGATTGTGCAATCTCAATAGAATTGACAGTGAGCATGGGGTACCAGAGATTGTGCAATCTCGGTACCAAAGATTAATATAAAAATTTGTAATCCGTTTTCTTAATTAAGGTAAAAATACAACTTTTACTAAATAAATTTAAAGGTTTTGAACTAATGAATAAATTTTAATAAAGATCAAACAAAAATGAACCTTAGATGAATTTTATTTTTTTCTATTACAATTGAAAATTGCTCGTTTGAGTAAATTAGATTATTCAAAATGATTCTTAACATTGCTTATAATTGCTCGTTTGAGTAAATTAGATGATTTAAAATGATTGATTAACGCCGCTGATTTTTCATCACTACAATGTTTAGGATCGATAATGGGACCTTTAATCTTTGTCATGATGATCAGTAGTGCATGACAATTTAATCGGTATAATAATTTAGTCTCTCCAACAAAATAATTTTATTTTAAAAAAATTATAACATATTTTAAACTCTTGCATATTAAAATTTAAAAATTAAATATCTTACTAACAAAAAGAGAAAAAGAATCGTTTTATTCAAAATCTTAAAATGAGCAAAATTAATGTAGGAGTTCTATTCCCTTGGTTTTAGATCGTTGCCATGCCCGAATAGTACGGAACTCCAGTGCGCCTAATCCAAGGATTACCACGAATAAACAACCCAGGGGTGAAATCAATGGCATGCTTCGGTGTGATTTGTTTAATTCCCCTCCACTTAACTCGATTTTGTTTTGCTGCACCAGGTCCTCTGTTATCATACTCTGTGTAAAACAAAGTCCTGAGAGCAAAATCGCCCTCCCATGGAAGCCACCCTTCAGGCTGGATCAAGTCGTCGATTTGGCATTGCATGATGATGGTTCTTGAATACTGCTTCCATGGGCGGCCAAGGTAGGTCTTGAAGACATGGCGAACGGGGAAGAAGCCAGGGTCAGAAGAGATGGCGCAGTTTTGGAGGACGATACCAGTGGGCTCTTTCCTATCGGTCCGACCTTGGGCAGTGACGATGCATTTTTGATTCTCCATTGGCTTCCTCACGAAGATCTTACAGTTCTGTAAGACAACAGCAGCATTGCCAAAGATGAAATCAATGGTACCAGTGATGGTGCAATCTCGAAAGAATTGACGATGAGCATGGGTGTAGAGAGTATCTTGATAGCCGTCCATTCTACAATTGTAGAAGATTGACATGTCTGATTGAACTCGGAGTGCCACAGCCTGGTGTTTCTCAGGCCCAGCTGAATTCTCGAACCACAAGTCTTTTCCGATGAAGTTGGTTCCGACCGCCGCTGTTAAGAATATGAAATGATGTTAAATTCACTTTTTGAATTCGTATGAATATGATAAAAACTATATGGTAACTTACCAAATGTAGCGGTTTGGAATGTGTTTGTTCCGTCCTTGAAGTTCTTTCTACCAGTGATCTTGGTCTTGGTAGGGCCATCTCCAATCATCATGACCCAGGTCATTGTTTTGTCCACCATTACTTGCTCTTGGTAAACTCCTTCCTTCACATAAATCACAAAGGTTTTATTGCTCTTCCTTGGGACATCTTGAAGGGCTTGAGTTATTGTCTTGTACTTTCCACTTCCGTCTTTAGCCACCACCACATTCGCCCTGATCTTGGCACCAGTGTGTTGGAGTAGCCCTCGCCTGTCATTGACCCAAGATGGCTCTTCCCCTTCATCTTCTTCATCGGGTTCTTCTCCTCGGAGTTGTCGCCCTGTTTCTGGCAGCCCAAGCGCCTTCCACAAAGAGCTCACAAGAGATGTAACCTCACCCACCATCACAAGTCCATTAGCAGTCATTTCTTTTGACGTCTTCAACAAATTTGCCATCTTCTCACCAGTATCGCCAGTAACATTCTCGAAAGCATCCAAACAAGTTTCTTGATATGTCAACGCACCACTCAACCAAATCCTAAGATTCTTAAGATAATTATCCACCCTATTTAAACTAAAACTATCAGTGATTTGATCAAACGTAGTTAAAAGATCATCAATTGCATAATCCATGAGCTCGTCACAAGTATCAATGGCTTCCTTCGCCATGGGGTCAGTGGTGGCTTGTTTCAAAGTGGGGGAATTTGCAATTGCCGCTTTGAGCTGCTCAATAGCAAAATGGAACCCTGCCTTGATCAACTCACGTGGGTCTTTTGAGTCAACATTGGATTTCACCAGGGCTTCTTCACAAGTTTCACGGTACTTAGTGGGCTCACATAGAGTCTTAATGGCAACATTGGAGGACCCAGAGTCCTCTCCTGCTCCACTTACACCATTAACCAAGGCAACCAAAAACAGAGACAACAACCCAACCAGGGCAGCTTTATTGTTCTTGCAACCACCGCCGTCATACGCCATGATTCTTCGCTACAAATCTCGAGCTGTTTTTTTTTTTTTTTTGCTTTTTTTTTTTGTTTTGTTTCGTTGGCTAATAGAAGATGAGAAGTTGCTGCCTTGATTGCTTTAGTTCAGCAAATGACCTGTTTTTATATGAGAAAATTTTAACCGAATTCCAAAATTAAAGTAAATATTGTTAAAGTTGGAGCATTCTGAACCAATCATTTTCACTCTATTTCTTAAATAAAATTTTTGTATCTTAATTTAGCTCATCTTTTCTAAAGTTAGGATTAATTTAGTTAATTTTGGCTAGGTTTGTGGTAAAGTTAATTATTTAAATTAACCCATTTTTTGAGTAATTATTAATTATTTAATTAGAAGTTAGTTAACCAAGCTAAAATTGATATAAAAATTGGCGATTTAAAGGTAAAAATACAATTTATTAGTAAATAAGTCCAAAGGCTTTGTTGTAATAAATAAATTTTAATAATGATCATTAAATGAATTTTACTATTTTCTATTAAAATTAAAATTTTATTTTTTTAAAAAAACTCGACCACTCGACAAAGGTAAAAACAATATTGATGTAACCACTACTTAAGTATCATAGGGTATTGAATCGAGCCTCGACTTAAGTACAGTGTCATGGCAACTCGTAAGGATCTCACTAAGATAAGCTTGGAAGGTTTTGCCATCATAGAAGAATACTATGGTCGACCGAGGAGGAGACGGGTTGCTCCGAGTCAGCCACAACCTATAATAACGACTCAACCTCCACGAAGGGTGGTTGACCCATCGCCAACTATTCATTAGGGGTGTACATTCAATCTAACAACTCGGACCAACCCAACTCGAATTATAGGGGTTCAGTTGGGTTGGGTTATCATTTCGAGTTGAGTTGGGTTAATTTTTCTGAACCCGAATTGATTCGATTCAATTTTTTGTCCTACCATACTTCCCTTCCAAATTGGTAAACCAGCTTCTCTAGAATTACTCTCGCACAAGTTCAACTCTAGTCCTATAAATATTTTTATATTTTCTTTATTTCGTTAGGTATAGTTCATTTTTGTAATCAATTGGTCGATATTTTCGACAACCCAACCTGTAGAGAGTTGTTTTTTAATTTCGTGATCTATTCTTATATTTTCCTTACCTTTAAGGTAATCAATTCTCAAGAATCGTCGATATTTCCGACAACCCAACTTAAATAGAGAGGGCTGGTCCAAAAAAATTTCTCAATCCAACCCCGACCATGTAAACCCTAGTGTGGTTATGAACTTGTAAATGGGTCAAGAGAAAGGTCACAGACTAGGCTAAGAAAATAGAAATGTCCTAACCGTAAAGTTTAGGGGACAACTCTTTGTTTATAAAAATGTATATTATTTCACTATCATTTTCGATAGTTCAATCTTATGTTGGATGATGTCTTAAAAAATTTAGGAGAGCACGAACTAGGACAAATGATACTAAACAATATGGATATCAACACATAATGAAACAAAACAAGAAACAAACGTAAACAAAGTAGTTTTTGATGTTTGGTGAAGCTTGAAAATGGCCACCAATTTAGTTTTTCAAGTAGAAATGCCTAAATTAAAGGGAAAAAATTCACTAATTTTAAGCCCTTCCCCTTCAAACAACCTATAAAATAACCCAACATGTAAACACAACATCATTCCAATTCTATTTCTTAGCCTCCATTTGGAGGCTTCTTGATGATAAAATAAATAAACCCAATAAGGGTGAGCTTCAATGAATTCTTCTTCGAAACTACCCGTCCTTCTCGGGTTGTTCTTAGCATCATTCGTTGCTGCCAAGGCAAAGGCGCTCATTGGACCGAGCACGCCCGACCCCTTTTCATCAATTAGTCTAAACAGTATTACACATCGAAAGGAAGCCGTGTTTAACGTGCTTAGTTTCGGTGCCAAACTCGGTGGCACTAAAGACAACACTCAAGTAATTGTTAAGCATGTTTTGTTACCATCGTTGTCGTTGTCATCGTTGTCGTTTAATGATGTCTTTTTTGGTAGAATTTCATGAAGACATGGGTTGCCGCTTGTCGCTCCAAGCAACCGGCTAGAGTTGTTATTCCCAGTGGTGTGTTTTTGATCAATCAAATCGTCTTCGCTGGGCCTTGTCGGAACACTGAACCAATTGTCGTTCAAATTGATGCCACGTTGAAAGGCGGCGTTGACGTCAGCGAATACGTCTCAGCTGAATGGATATTGTTCGAGAAAATCAATGGTTTGATAGTGACTGGACGAGGTACATTGGATGGACAAGGTAGTAAGGTTTGGAAGTACAATGATTGCCATGTGAATCAAAATTGTCAGAAGCTCCCAGTTGTAAGGACAAACATGTTTTTTTTTTTTTTTTGTCATGTCAATTATTCACCGTCTCATTCTTTCCTCGTTCTTCGTTCTTAGAGTTTTAAACTCAATGGCATCCGACACGGACTCGTGAAAGGCCTCACTTCCCTTAACAGTAAAGGGAATCACATGTTCATCACGAATTCCGAAAATATTAGGGTTCGAAAGCTACACCTGATCGCACCAGATGATAGTCCGAACACTGATGGTATACATCTTAGTCGCTCCACTAATGTGAGAATTACAAAATCTATCATTGCTACAGGTGACGACTGTATCTCTGTCGGTAGAGGATCGATGAATGTTGTTATCACCCAAATAAAATGCGGGCCAGGACACGGTATCAGGTAATAAAAAAAAACGTGTTTGTGTTCTTGTTTAGCTATGTAATATTGCATACGACGTGATGATCAACGAGGGTTCTACTATGACAGTATTGGTAGCCTTGGGAAGTACCCAAATGAGGAGGACGTGCGGGGTATTATCGTTAGGAACTGCACGTTAATTAACACCGACAACGGGCTTAGAATCAAAACATGGGCAGACTCGCCCCCGAGTGCAGCAGTAGGCATACTATTCCAAGACATCAATTTGATCAATGTGAAGAATCCGATCATCATCGACCAACAGTACAGCTGCTCAAAAGTTTGCAAAAAGCCGGTTCGTTATTATTTTTGTTTTCGTCTTTCGTTTCTCAATCAAACTTAACCCGATTCTAACGTGATTTTATCGGGTACAATGCAGCCATCACGAGTCCGAATCAGCGATGTTCATTTCGTGAATATAAAAGGAACAACAATCTCTCCAGTAGCAGTTAAACTGGTATGCAGCAAGCGGTTCCCATGCCAAAACATTGAGATGTCCAACGTAAATCTAAAGTACAGTGGGCGTCCGAACGACAAGGCGTTGCCGTTTAGGTCAGATTGTACAAATGCAAAAGTAGGCTATAGAGGTCTGCAATTTCCAGCCCCCTGCAAGTGATCATAGTCTGAGAGCTGCAGTTGAAGCTTCTTTTTTGCTTTTTTTTTTTTTTTTTTTTTTTTT